TTTAACGTTGAATATTATTTATGATTTTAGTGATTTAAATTGTTTGAGAACGAGGCTAAAGAATGGAACGATATAACTTTGTTCATTATTTCAAATACGTTTGCTTTTACAAATATATTGGCGATTTAAAGTATGGACATCTTTCATAAAAAAAAGATTAATAGTGGAACTTAACTGTTTTTGTTTCTTATTTTTTATAGCCTGAAAGCGACTTGAAATAATCTGGCCACAAGAATTCCACTCGTGAAACGCCCAAGAATTTACAGAGTCCTGTGGCGCCATCTGTTGAAGTAACACGACATTTAAACTTGAAAAAGATCGAACCTTTTAGATAACATATTACAGACATTATTATTAAGCTATTTTTCTTGTGCGTTAGTTATTGGTTGTTTTACAGTATTAAAACTGTAAAAGTTGTATATTGTGTAACATGTTTCTCATATCGTTATTTGTTAATTTAATTTTCATTGTGAAAGTTGATTTGACTATTTTACAGAGGCATGTAAATATTGAAGTAAAGTTTGTAATTATGTGCTGTAGATGTCACCACAAGTCCTATATTAAGCATCGTGAGTTTTTATTAAAGAATAAACCTAGTTGATTATAGAAATAAACACAAGATATTATAAGTTGAATATACTTGAACAGAACTACCTAATCTAAGACTAAGCCTAAAGGATAATATTGTGTTGCAACGTAGTTCTTCGTAGGTACTTTCTTTACAATTATTCTGTGAAAGTAACTCAGCATCCAATTTCGTAACAGACAAGAATTAGTTTATTTTCTCTTAGATATTACAACCTCGAACCCTATTGTAATTTGTAGGCCTAAACTTACAAACTTAGGCCTAAAATACAGCCACGCTAAGTATCCTCTTAGATATTACAAGCTCGAACCCTATTGTAATTTGTAGGCCTAAAATACAGCCACGCTAAGTATCCTCTTAGATATTACAAGCTCGAACCCTATTGTAATTTGTAGGCCTAAACTTACAAAACTTAGGCCTAAAATACAGCCACGCTAAGTATCCTCTTAGATATTACAAGCTCGAACCCTATTGTAATTTGTAGGCCTAAACTTACAAAACTTAGGCCTAAAATACAGCCACGCTAAGTATACTATACAACGCAAATAAAAATCATTGCACGTATTTCATCAATGATCCATTACATATTATCTATTCGATTTAAAGACAATAAATTTAGCAATGTTACTCCTTTAAAGACTCCCTTTTCATCTTTTTACCGAGTTGTGACTGAATGGTCATGTTTTCCTCCCCTCCATTTGGTCTCTGCAAGGTCTTATAGATAAAGGTTTGAAGTGTTGGAAAAAACTTTGCTACAACTCTCAAATGTTTATTGCAGCTTAATTCGCGGACATAACTAGTCTTTTATTGTAAAGAAAAAATAAAGAATTCCTCATGATACTGTAAATTTATCATCTTGGTAAATGTTGACTTCAGAAGAATATGACAAGTTATGAAATTACAAATTATATAAACTTTCACGTGCAAATAAAGTTGTAAGTTTTAAATAGGTCAACTTTATGGGTATATGTTTAAATAATTAAAAACAAATGAGACGTGTCACTTTTCATTACCATTTCATTAGTCTGGCATTAACTAATCTGCATACTGTAATATACGTACAATATTTGTTGTAAATACCTATGTGTCTTACTCTACCATGTACATACCTAAATTTTCATAACCAGTACATCATAGACACTTCAATACAGTGCATAATGGCCCCTTTTCAATTATGTAATGATCACCAGTATTTATAATAGCAAATCAAAAGATTAAAACATAAACCCAACTTTCCACCATAGCTGATATATATTTCAGAAAACGGCCACGTAATGTATGCCACAGAGTAATTACACAAATCTTACAAACATGATGACGTAGGGAAATACCAAGGACATAGGCCTAACTTTTCCAACTGAGTACAGTACACTACATTGGATTAGTTTCAAGAACTATATACAATATAATCATACATTTTCCCCATTAAATGTACGATTCATAATTATATGCTAACCAAATTCTGTTATTTCATGTGAAAATCATTTCTAGAGTTCTTTGTTTTCATGTGAACATGCAAAGTACACAATCAGCAATGTGCAAAACATTTATAAGTCTAAAACACTTATCTGATAGTTCACACATACATTACAATTAAATGTAACAAAATAGAAATACATGTACATCTTAGGTCGTCAAGAAATTAATGTCGTCTTTTTTAGATGAAAAAATCCGAACAACTTATATATCAAAACAAAACATTTAGTAAATGAAATAGTCTCCATTCTTATCGATGATGCTTTTCCATCTTACAATCAGGTTGTTAATGCTCTGATTAAAGAAATCACTTGGCTTTGAAGCAAGAAACATGTTGATGTGCTCTTTAACACCTTCCACATTTGCATACGTTTTCCCATTAAGATGGTGTTGCAGCGAACGAAAAAGATGGTAATCTGATGGTTCCATATCTGGAGAATATGGTGGGTGGGGAAGAACTTCCCAACCCAACTCCATAATCTTGTGTTGCGTCAAACGTGCATTGTCGTGGAGAAAAAGAACACCTTTCGAATTAACGAGTGAAGGGCTTGATTTAAACGTTCCAGTTGCTGACTATAGATCTCTGCATTGACAGTTCGCTGTGGATTGTGGAGTTCGAAATGAATTACTCCTTTGATGTCCCACCAAATGCAAAGCATCACTTTCTGCGGATGGAGTCAAAGTTTTGGGGTTGAAAGTAGATTTTTGTCTAGAACTGAGACATTGTTTTTGGCTCATAGAGAATCCATTTTTTATCAGCGGTGACTGTTCTGTTCAAAAATGGTTCACGCGCCAGAAGAGACGAAGCAATGTTCACACGTTAGAAACGATGATCATCGGAGAGTTCGTGAGGCACCCAAACACCTTCTTTATGGAGTTTTATCATATTCCTTAAATGTTTACATATTGTTTCATGAGAGACATGCAATTTCAGGGCCATTTCACGAGTGTGTTACCTTGGATTAAACTCAACAAGCGTCTTCAGAGCATCAATATCAATTCCAACATGTCGGCCCCTGCCATCACAGTTTTTAAGGTTAAAGTCACCTGAACGAAATTTGCTGAACCATCGTTGACACTTACGAACGTTCAAAACATTTACATAAACCTCTTTTGGCTACAGAGGCGTTGTTTCCCTTCTTGTATTCAAACAGCATTACATGCCGAATGTGTGTCTCATCGTGTGCCATCACTATAAGTGATTAGAGTATACTAAACTTTACACATTATATAGGCTACACTAACGTGACGTTTAGTCAGTTCGTTTAACTATTATACGCGATGTACGTTTCTTTTCTTTTTTTTTGGGGGGGGTAATAAAAGTGTTCCAAAACGCTACATTAATTTCTTGACGACCTAATATTTACAAGAAACACCCAGGATTAGCTTCCTACATTCTGGTTATATATATCTACATAATTTTACACTACGACTGGATTATCTATCCAGTTATGTACATAATGTTACACCACGACTGGAATATCTATCCAACTATGTACATAATGCTACACCACGACTGGATTATTTATCCAACTATGTACATAATGTTACACCACGACTGGATTATCTATCCAACTATGTACATAATGTTACACCACGACTGGATTATCTATCCAACTATGTACGTAATGTTACACCATGACTGGATTATCTATCCAACTATGTACATAATGTTACACCACGACTGGATTATCTATCCAACTATGTACATAATGTTACACCACGACTGGATTATCTATCCAACTATGTACGTAATGTTACACCACGACTGGAATATCTATCCAACTATGTACGTAATGCTACACCACGACTGGATTATCTATCCAACTATGTAAATAATGTTACACCACGACTGGATTATCTATCCAACTATGTACATAATGTTACACCACGACTGGATTATCTATCCAACTATGTACATAATTTTACACCACGACTGGATTATCTATCCAACTATGTACATAATGTTACACCACGACTAGATTATCTATCCAACTATGTACATAATGTTACACCA